AATTTCAATTGCTCATGCCTGCTTCACCACATCAAAACACAGTTCTGTGCAACCTGCATTCCTCCATTGTTTGCTAAAAACGAAAATCCCACTCACAATGAGCGTCGAATGTGTGGTCTCAAAATCTCACAGATTTGCGCTTGGAGAACATTTTCGGCAGTAATGGGTCGTGGTGGAGAGACTGGCATAGGGTCAGCCGCGATCATCACGCCGTTCAAGACATTATGGTACTGCTGGAGAATTGTCTTGAGATTAAAGCCCTGCCAGATCTGAAGCCCTCGGATATCGAGATAGCTGTATGCTTGATTGGTAGTGTTGCGGCCTAGCTGGGGTGGGGGGTGGCTGCTGTAAGAACGTGATAAGCGTGACCTGAGCTGCACACATTCTAGGGGAATTCTTCTAGGACACTTAGAACACATTTCGGCTATATATATGTGTGTTGAAAACCAAGAAAAACAAATTATGTCTCCGTAATAAGGCGATGCCTGAGAAGCCGCAGGATATGGGGTGTTGTTGAAGTGGCACAAACTAAATTCAATTGGCTAACTGAAGAGGCCCAAGTTTCATACTTGTTGCTGAGCGGTGACTCATCCAAAACCACTTGACTTGTCTAGCATTTGTATCGAATGACAACCAATAGCTCCTCCACAAGATGTACATGCTTGACACAGCCTCGTTAAAATCGCAACCTCAGTGGAGCCATATGGTCGAGTCCATCAGATAGAATCAAAATTTCTGGAATATTGAAATTGAGCAAACAAATCAAACTATTCCCTGTTCTCTTCTCTCTTAAGGCTCAACCTTTTCCCGCAAAACCTAGAATTTTGAAGGGGAACAAAGCAAACTCGAAGATCGAAACACAACATTTCATGGATTTTACTGACATTGATCCCTCTGAAATAACATTTAAGTGAAAGCTTTTCAGCTCAGAATTCTCAGAAATATTCCTTGTTCATATTTGCAATAAAATATGTATAATGAAAGTGGTCTATGTACCTGAAGTGTTTCAAAACATCAGTTCATTTTAACATTTGGAACAGTATCATGACAACAGATCAGTCCAGCCTGCATCTTCTGAGCACAAAACAAACATTCACATCTGTGAATCGGTTGCCTACAGATGACTAATAAAGCATGGCCTTTGCAACCACAGAATCATACCTCAGTTCTATGAAACAATAAAATGAATGAATTTATCACATTATCAATCTCATCTGAAAATGTTTCTTAATGATAAGAATCCTTCTAGCATCATTCTCTTGAAGTACATTTCAAAAATGAAGATGATCTATCTGCACAATTTTACAAAGAAGTGGGGAGAGGTTTTGATCTATGACATTTGAGAGATTTACAGAGTGTTGATTCTGCATTGTGACGCCAAATTAAAGAACATGATGATTGTCAGGAATGACTCAGAAAGAGTGGTCTGATTAGACTTCAACAGAGCTCAGACCTATCACACAGATAGTCTTACTAAGAGACAATGAGAATTTATTGAGAATGAAGAGCTAATGATATCTCAACTCACAGATTCACTCATGAGTGATCTACTATTTACAGCAACTTAGATCATAGTCAAACATTAATCAAAACCATAACTTTCTTCTTACAGAAAGCTGATCATGCACAAGATGTGATTGATGAAACTTATCTCTATTACTGCATCTAATCAATTTCTCTGCATTGAAATAAAAATGCATCTGTGGAGATGGTGTGTTAACCTTTCAGAACTGCAGCGTGAGGAATAGCATTCAATGATCAATGGAAATATTGGTAGATCATTGAAGGGGCCATAATTTTTAAAGTCCAAACCATGAACAGGTCTAAGTGCTGAGGAGCCGCCAAGGCAATCATTGGCCCTCATTAATCCTTTTTTTAACTCTGCTTGCCATCGCCCACTTGGACCGTTGACAAATTCTCTGACTTGAGTTGCTTTATTATAATTGTTGTCTGATGAGTTTTTAGTCATAGCAGTTTTACAGCAATTACATGGATGATAGTCTCCCTACTACCAAATACCCAAAACACACAAGTTCTCGGGCTACATGGGAGTTGACGCCAACGGGGGCCACCGGATTCTGAAGGAGCAACGAGTATCGGCGATTTACTTCATTGTGAAACGTATAGTTATTGCTGACAGAAGTGACGTAATGATTAGCATTATAAATATCAAAGGTAGTTTCCTGTCAACAATTTGTGGCCATGATTTGCAATCCGAAACCGTGGCCCTCACCATTTTGTCTCAATTTTCCACTCGGCCACGCGATCCGATCATTTATGCTAAAAGAGAGCATGAAAGTTAAGAAGGAAAAAAACCAAAAACCGACACCGACAAAGAAGAGAGAAAAGGATAAAATAAACAAATAAACATAAATTAATGACTGGATTGATTGGGATTGGTAGCCCCGGGTTGAAGCCGAGTACGCTGAGATCTGTTGCAACAGAAAAGCCAGAAGGTGAAGAAATACGTCAAAAAAATCTAGAAGTGTCCTATTCGAAATCACACCATGCGGAAGATGGAATTCGTTAATCTGAATAAAAGGATGGAAGCACACAAATGTAGAAAATCGAATTGCAGAAATGCATAAATTGAAACACGCACTTCCCTGCGCCAAGAAACGGCTCAGCCTTACAGCTTCTGTATTGATTGCAGGTACGACGAGATACATCACGCTAGTCTGTAATAGGAATCGAGAGCCCAAACAGCAACCTGCTAAGCTTTAGCCGTTAAGAGGTCTGCTGAGAATAGGTGCCAGCTCGATTCTGTTTATTCTCACAAAATTTAAAGCATATACGAACCATCCAAGGAAAGGCCTACAACATGACTGCTCCTGTTTTGGGACTGCTCCTGTTCTGGGACTACGCCTGTTCTGGGACTACCTCTGCTCTGGGACTACTTTCCATTCGCCCTTCATCACCCGACGGATAGTGGATCTCGGCTTTAGCGAGGATAACTGGCCGGATGAGTGCTAATCTTCTCCATATATCATTTCAATTGACCAAATGCCCTAGGTATATATATGGGCTCCCTCCCGCCTTGAATTCATGTTTCTTTTAATTTCGCCGCAAACCTCTCTCTTCATTACCCTTCTTTCTTTTTCCTCTTCTTTATACTCATCTGTAATGTGCTTGTCTGTTCGATGTATTTGCTATCACTTAGCCTGTTACAAGTTGGCTTCTTCAGTGTTTGAGTTCATCGGCGCGCCTCTCAGAATAAATCCGCCTTCCTTAACCTGTTATAAATCGCCCATAAATGTTTGAATTATTGGTTGCCTTTAAATTGCTCGAGTCTAAAAGTGAGAGATTAACAATTGAATTTCTTTCCACGTCCCTTCTCCTTTCATCACCACAACATTGTTGGGAACGCCACGTCTTGGCGTCCTTAAGGACCGGACCGTGATGGGCACAGTTCGGAAACTGATCTTGGACCAACAACAAATACTAAACGCCCAAGCTAAGCCCCTTAATTTGAAGGTCATTGGTAACTTAATACCTCCGACAAGTACTTTATGACCCTTGGAGCCCACTCGCTTCCTTTGAACAAACAACATTGCCCCATTCCTTAAGCAGGCCCACAACTCTCTCAGTTCCCGTAATTCTTGGTATTATCAACAACCCGAGACGATTCATAACAAGGTGCCCATTAAACAACAAATTCAACCGTCAGCGACTCTGAACGCAACGCAAACGGAGATGGACTTCCTCGACTCCTCCTTCTTCACCAAAGCAGGCCATAAGAGCTTGCCAACCCGCTGCAGAGGTTGGCTCCCTCTCAGAACAGTTCAACAAACATCCACGGCCCGCACCGGGTTAAATTTGAGCATCTAAATCTTCTCGTCAAGTTTGGGCCGTCTGTGGCGGTTGAAGAAGCCCTAACTCTCCGCATGCTTCGAACGTCTTTCGCTGAGAAGATACCTGTCCCGGAGGTGTATGGTTGGAGAGTTTATCAAAATTCTGTGTTCATTTATATGGAGCTTATTCAGGGAGACACGCTACATGATCGATGGGATTCTCTCAATGAGCTGGATAGGAACTTTATTTGCGGCCAGTTACGGGAGATTATTTCTTCCCTTCGGCAAATTGAGCCAGATCCTTGCGACTCATTTATCGGTATGCATGTATCCTGCAATGTCTATCAGCGGAGTCGCTTACTGAGGTGTAGGATCCATCAACCGCGCACGTTTGCACGATTATGTCTTCGCAACCATCCCTCAATCAGGCCCTTTTAAAAATGTGAAAGCATTCAACGACTGGTTTTCTTCTCTGCCTCAAAGCTGGCTTCCTGATTCAAAGAGATATCGGGATCCTTATCGAGACTATCTACCAGACGATGGGGCCATCAGGTTGACTCATGGAGACTTGCATCGGGGCAATATTCTAATTTCACCAGCTGGTCGCCCACGTGTCCTTGCTGTAGTTGATTGGGCTCATGCTGGTTGGTACCCGGAATACTGGGAGTATTGCAAGGCCTTATACACATCAGACTATAAGGGGGAATGGCGCAATGTTTGGATTCCCAAATTCTTAACTGCGTACGAGCCTGAGTTTGCTGCTTTCGGTGAATATGTGCTGCAGATTGGAGCAGTGTAAGTATTGATGTTGTACTTAGCCTTCTAAATTACATTTGTCATGATCATTTACCGAGCTTTTCTTTCCAATATCCTTCATAAGCTATGTACTCGAGTGTGCTTCACCCTGTACTGATGATTGACCAGAGAAGCAATTGCTAAATGCCAAAAACCAAAATGAAAAATGGGATTTACTAATAAGGGCCTCGTTGACCAGTTGAAACTCCGCAGTAGCTCATATCAGAAAACAAAAATAAGCAACATGATTCAAATTCAAACAGGGCCAGCCCAGTATCACAATCAAACAGTAACAATTATGGCATTTCATTTCACATCCAATTTATGCGCAAATTCCGAGTTCACTGACCCCTGCCTCGACCACGCCCGCCGCCAACCGGGTTCAAGCCAACACCGTGATTTGGAGGATCGCGTGCAGACTGAACAATCTGGATCGCATTTTCATTGAGATATTGATGGTGGACTAGACGGTGTACATAGTCCATTGTCCATTCTTGGCACCTTCTGTTGGTGGTCTAGATTTCTTTGGTGTAAGCAATCGTGCCTATGTAAATAAAATCCGAGAGCAACTTACATTATTGACAGGAGCCAGGAAGTTTTGGCTAATTGCTGGTGGAGGAATCTGCGTCGCTGCAACTTCAATTGCACACTTGGGGGAGGAGTCTGTGACCAGCGGGGCCTGAGGATCCGAATCTGGAACGATGTGTTGAGAGTCGATTTGCCCGATCGCAAGTCTGGTATATAGCTGCAGGGTTAAGTTGATCGCATAGTTCCGCTTAAACTCCAGCCGGTAGCCGGCCATCGGGGCGCCAACAACGTGGATCATGGTTCCGCGATCCTGATCGGAAGCAGTAGGTACAAAAATCGCAAAATGGGCACGTTGGCTTGCCGCGTTGCGGTACGCGATAAGAGAAACGTTTCGAGGGGCCATTCCGAATGAAAACGAACTAGCAATTAGACAACTAGAGTTGTCGAGAAGGCGCGTGAGTTAAAGGCAGTGGAGGTAGATATAGCAAAGGACAAAGCAGAGGCTTGATGTTGAAGACTGTTCTTTCTTTCCATTCTCAAAGGAATCTGCGGCCTTAAATATTCCATTCGGGTCTTCTGAAAGGACGTAACCGCCCGTAACAGAGAATTAAAAATATACAAGTATGGGTGCTTGCTGGAACAGGAGTCATCTGCCATCATAGTAGCGCCGACAAAATCCTAAACTTGATCCGGGCTGCGGGAGAATTGATCGAGAGCGAATCGGCCATTATGGGGTGTGATCCGTTGAACATTGTAATGCGGCGCAGCATCTCGATGCCTGTCGATTGCTGTGAAGTCTCCGGGGTGTCGGCGAGCAACATCTGGAGTCTGAGCCAATAATGTGACCTTGTACTATGTCCAAAATCCAACTTAAGCGCCTTGTTGGTGAGTTCACAGGGGTTGAGGAGACCCGATTGGAAATACTCAAAAGTCAACAGCTTCTCTTTGCCGCAAGAACTCAAATTCGAGTCCTGCTACAGGCTCTAACGCACCAACTAATCAAGAATCGAGAGATGGAAAGAGCGCCAAATACAGAAGCGCTACTTATGAGACCTTCCTTGCCACCAAAGGCAGCTTTATGGCTGAATCTGAACTTGAAGTAACGGAAAGAAGCAAAAGAGATTTGCAAAATGCTACTTGACGAGAAACAAACGATTCCCGAAGGCACGATATTTCAGAATGACCGATTCCGGAAGGCTTGCCAAAAGCTACAGAGTAAAAATGAATCAAGAGTTATTCAAGATATATCTCGGTTGATTGTGCCTGCGGCGGAGACATTAGCTACTTGTGGCGCTAAGAATCTGGAGTGTTTGGTTGAAAGATGTCTCGAATACTGCTAGCTTTCTTGTGCTGGAATAACTTAATTTTTGTGTCCTATCGTGATGGTGACGACTGGGGATACATATGGCCTACAAACAGCAAATTAAATCGGTAAGCCATTAAAGCTGAAAGCGTCGAGAGAGCTCACGATGATAGTGTTTCTGGCATTGTATTCAATCATCAGACATCGCTGGTCAGACATCAGTTGTTTGGCCTGATCATCCATTTTGCTGCGTTTAGATTTATTTATTTTCGCCATTCTCAAGACGCCTCTGGTTGTAATGTTTTGATGTTGCAAAGTGATTGTAGCTTCCCAAAGCAAACTGAATGAATCGGGGCTTTCCAATCGACCGATAGCCATCACGTGACCACCACCTGATCGGGTGAGTGTTCTTTCTCTCAGGGGCTATGGTAACACCAGGAGCGTACTTTTTCATCACTGCCCCATTTATATTTAGAATTAGCATTGGCGATATGAATTCCACATGTGTGTGAGGTGGGGTTGATCGGGAACAACCTTACAATCATAACTGACCTACCATGAAAAATTGTCGACTCACCTGAAATGTAATCAACAAAATACCCATGCTGTATGGAAACACAAAAGCCCTTTGCAAGAAACAAAAAGAACTACAAAAAAGTATAGTCCACAAAGTACTATAGTTGAGCAGAGGTGAAGAGCGGGGGACTACAAGATGACAGAGCACACGAGATCACAGAGCAGAGAGAGAAAGGAGGGCGTTTACAGTCAAAGAAACTTGTCGTTGTGAGCTAGCTAGGCCCCCAACACAAAGGAAAATATATAAACCGTAGCCCGAAAGCACTAGTATTCGCCCTCCTGGCGCAGGGCTTCCTTGGATATTTCCAACGAGCATCAGTGACCGCAGGATGGCCGCTTTTTGGCCTCGCGATCGAAAGCGCAGCCTGGTCACCATACATACCTCAAAAACATAGGGGTCATTTTACTCTTAAATGCGGTCATCCCGGTCATTCAAAAGGTATGAGGATTTTTACAAGCAGCCAATAAGACTTAGACTAGATTTACTTTCCAAAAAGAGCTTAGTGCTGGTCTCGAATTCATTGTAATTATAACCAACAGAATCTTTCATCTATTTTCGCTTCTTCTCAAGTTTCTCTTGCTTTTCCTTCTTCGCTCTAGACTTCGGATATT